GCATACACAAAATAAAAATAATTTCATACTGCATCGGTCGTCGCTCAGGATAATCAGGACCGCGCTGCCCATTGCATCGAGTGGGGTGGGTAGTGATAAATAGGCTACTGCTCAGATATCTCAACTTTTGTTTAACCGTTTATCTTCCGTTCCCAACCCTCTCCCTTCACCCCTTCTATCGACCAGTAATAGTCCCTTAAGCAACTTGGATGTCGCTCGCCAAAGGTCATTGTCAAATCACACTGTAAGTGATTTACCACGGAATGGACTGCAGATTCTAAAGCCTCGTCAATCACTGAATCTGGGGGCCTTCAACTTGAGGACTTTGATGCAGCTAGGTCAACAAGCTTGTCTGACTCGTACAATGGAATCCTTTGGAATCGATATTCGCCGCATGTCGGAAACTCGTATCCAGGATCCTACTACTCTAAGCCACTTAAGTGCGCCAGATTTGTCGATAAGATACGTTCTTCGCACATCAGGCGACAATGAAGCTCGTTCAGTAGGTCAGCGCGGGGTAAGTATTGTACTCAGTAATAGGGCGGAGTCCTCTCTTATTGATTGGATCCCCGTCAGCAGTCGTTGATATGCAGTGCGTCTCCAGGGTTCAATCAACGTCCGGAAGAGAAGCAACACTAAAAGGTGTTTGTTTATCGTATTAGCATATGCACCGACCAATTGCAGTTCTGATGCCCAAAAGGACTCTTTCTACGATGAACTCACCGATCTCATTCGGCTGAGTCGAAGCTCCGACATAGTTGTACTTGCAGGCGACTTCAACGCGCAAGTTGGAAAACTGAGCGCATCAGAAGCTTGTCTAGGCGGTAGTTGTGCTCTGCCCAACCAACGAACGGATGACGGCGATCGAATTCTTCAGTCCTGCGCAGATCAACATCTGTTCCTATCAAGCACCAACTTCCGACACAGCTCTCGACGGACGGCAACGTGGCGCTCCAGTTCAACTGGTACGCTAACNACGCTAACTCAAATCGACCACATCGCAGTAAGTTACCATTAGCGTGGCTCAGTGCAAAATTGCAGGTCCTATTGGACCACCTGCGTTGAGTCTGACCACGCATTAGTTCTGATGCAGTCCACTCTCCGACTGACTGGTCGGCGACAAAACCAGCAAGCTCGGATTGCTCATCAACGACTATCTGTTCCAGCCGTTCGTGCACTCTATGAGTCAGAGCTAGTGCGTAAGCTGAGTGCGCTTCCGCGTGGTGATGTAGACGAGCAGTGGGATCAGATTAGGCGAGCAATGCATTCCGCAGCGAATGCTGCTTGTGGGTCTGAGCCTCAAACCCGTCGGAGGCATTGGATATCTCAGGAGTA